CAACACGAGTCCCCTACCACCTCACCTTGCAAGCCCTCCTCTTTGTGTCACAGACTGGTGAGTGTGTTACAGGTTCTCCTCTGTGTCCAGTATGTAGATGATGATACTTTGTTACGGACCAGGCTAGAGAGCTTTACCTCAACCTCCAACAACGTGTGCTTTTTAGCTTTGAAGGGTCCCAATTCAAGTCCGAGTGCATTGGCTAAGATGTCTACCATCACAGTTGTAACCTGGGAGTAACCTTCCTTCCCAAAAAGGCAAGAAAAGGGGTCTGTTCTTCCCACCAGGAGTGGCAGAAGCAACTTTTTCCTCCCTCTCCAAAACCTAGAAATGCAGGGGTGGCAGCAAAGTAGGGACCCAGTATCTACCCCAGCAACTGGTGTGGAATTGCTTGGTTGATAGGCCAGGACTTCTGCACTCTTCTCCTGGCACACAGAGAGCCCTCTGTTGGGATGGTGTCCCTGAAGTCCCCTAAAGCAGTGCATCTTGGAGTCAACACCTCAGAGGGATGAACAGGGCTTCAGTTTTCACCTCTCACAGAGGTATTGTTTTAGGCTTTCTGCAGACTCAGGCAGACAACTCTTCTTATTGTTTATTGTATGTCTTATCAGAGCACCCAAGGGCTCACTACGAATGTTAGTTCCATGATTTTTTTAAATCTTTCTGCTTTGGGTTGGGTTTTGCTAAGAAGGGTTTAGCTAGAAGGAAAAACAAAGGAAGGGAGGGGGTGTAGATGGGAAGGGAGATAAGGCAGGGAACAAGAGGGAGGAGAGCATCAAAGGCAAGTGCGTCGATACTGAGTGAAAAGACAGTGAGAGCAGCGAGGGAGTTCTTTTATTTCATTATTTTAATTAAAGCTAAGGTTTTTATATAATCATGACCACAGGAATAGGGCCATAGGCCTGGGGGCTACAGTGCCTATGTATGACTTAATCTGGGCCTGCTCACAGGGCATAAAGTTAAGCACACGCCTAGGTCTTTGTTGGATCAAAGCCTAAAGAACATAACTGAGATGGTATATGATTTACTCATGTACACAGCTTCTCAGGTTCACAAGGTTCTCTTCAAGACTGCATTGTAGACATGATGAATGTAATTCTAGGAAAATACTGATGTCTGGCTTGCTTAAAATATTTCATCTGTTTCCCGTTGCTCACTCAGTGCCATTTGCTTGGTAATGTGATGCTTTTATGGTAATCGTGGTGCAATGAAATAGCAATATAACCAAATATGTAATTGTTCATATAGAAATGTGAAAAGTCATTTTAGCTGAGTTAATGCTGAAGTTTTATTAATTCATGTATAAATTCTACAAATTCAACATAAGCAGGTCTGATACGTTGCTATTAATGATTAGAATAAAAATAAATAAATAAAACCAGGGCAAATTATCTGTTTTGCAGAGGGTTTTTAAGTTGATCTACACTACGGAGATTACTAGGAGCTCTTTATAAATAACTAGTGAAAAATTATTTGGCATTTTATGGCTTATCTGGCCTTGAGGTGGAGACAAATTCTCCTAGACTTGAACCTGTCCACACTTAGTTATGCGCAGGATCAGAGCCTTCAAAGCTTAATTTAGGATCCATAGATATCTAGCTTTGGGTATAACCTAAAAATCTCCCATTTGTAACGTTTCAGCTTGCTGCTATATAATCCATACTCTCTTACAACGTTCGCATTGGTAATATTTTATATGCATCGCTGGTTTGGTTTCACATCATGTGACAGTGGCACAGCTTTACAATGCCAAGAGTGGTGATATTTATCAAATTATGAAGTCATGAGTAAAAAAGGAAATATTAAACTATATTTACATAGTTTATAGAGGCTGTACTGATGGTGAGAAACAGACTTTAATTTTAAGCAACAGGTCGTTGTTTTTTTGGAGGAGGAGGAAATCACAAAATATACTGTATTAAAGGAGGAGCTTCTTCTCATACGATTACCTTTAATCATTTTAATCTGATAGAACTACTGGTTTAGGTAAAATTAGAACAATATAATTTCCCAAGGACAATGGACCTCCCCCGTAACTGGCAATTAAAACAGGCAATAGTCCTTTTAAAATACACTGTGGTGCAAACCTACCTCCACTGAAGTCAATGGCAGAATTTCCACTGAGTTCAATATGTCCAGGATTTCATCTCATACTTGTACTCTTGTACTCCTCTAGCCAGGTCTTTTCCAGTTCACTTTTGTTTTCTGCCACTGTTATCTTAAAGAGCGTCACAGGAGTAGTCAGTTATTCACTCTTCTCGCATAGTTCTGCATCATGGTTTCCACAAAAAAATCTGACTTATACCTTCCCCTCCTCGCCACTTTTTTTTAACAATTCTGCATGACATTCTGGAATAATTGTATCTTACAATCTATCTGATTTTTTGACTTAAGCTTTAAGTAGTAATGGCATTCTAGTAATGACACATATTTAGTTCTCTTTCATTCTCTAAGAAATGATTCAGTCAGGTGCTGCTATCACATTTTCTATTGCCACGCTGGATAGAATATTTATGAATCATTTTCCATTATTTCCCCCACTGCTTTCCTCCTGCTGGAGAAGACAATGACAGATTTTTGTAGGGTTCCAGTTCACAGTGTAAGCTCATTTCGGGCTGGTTAAATGCTTATGGAGCAAACTATCCCATCCCACATAGAACTACCATTAACCTGCCAGCTATGATTAACTTGAAAGAACCTCAGATGCCTTTGCAGCCCCACAAAGAATGGAAATGTACATTCTGAAATTAAAAAAAAGCATAAAAATCTTCAGTAAGTAGACTATGGTAAACTGGCAGCCCTCTGTGGGAAGTGAGTAATGGACAGTTCTCCATAGCAGCCATTTTTTACTTGCAAATTGAAGCAATATGTTTCTACTCGGAGCAATTCTGTTTCTATATTTTAGAACTCTGTAAAGATCACAGAGTCCCATGCAGGTCCTTGTACACTCAAAACTCTCCTTGAAGTCAAGTTTGTGGAGCTGTACCAAGGAATGCAGAAGTTAAGGGGAATGATGGTTGCACAAGAAATACAAATTTGGTTCTCTGAAGAAGCTTAAGAGAGTGTGTCAGTCTAATACCATATTAATAATCAACTGTGCATGGCCAAATTCTGATACATTTATTCACATTCGAGAAGTAAGGTACTAGTCAATGTAAGTAAGTATATCAGTGTCAGGGCCTGATTGAGCTAAATAAAATAGAATGTGTTTAAAAAACATTTTTGGAGTAGATAATCATACTTAGCTATAAACCATAGACATAGACATGATTCAGTAGTGGTATAAGGATGTACAAACAGTATTGTGCCATTTTAATGCAGTCATCCTAACCTGACATTGGTCCTTCAATTTAACAGTAATTAACATCACTTAACTGTTCATATTTGGCTTACAGTACGTCTCAGTGTTATGTGTTGGGAACTGTAAAAGATGCATGATTGTGCTATTTCTGTTCAAGTTGTTTCTAATTAATAACTTCACTGTCCAGTGTTCTTTCAATAAGGGTACCTACTGTAGCACTTTAATCATTTACGGGATAGAGAAATCAATGTTTCAACCAAACTGAATGATGCATGTAAAAATAGAGCTAACGGTTTTTTGCTGGAGTAGATGAAATCTCTCTCTCCTACACTTCCCCCCCACCCCAGATCTCAGGCATCCAGGCAGGAATCATGACTTTTAATCAGTGCTGAGAACTATAAATAAACCGCAGTATAATATAAATATTAGCTTAGCATTTCCTGGCATCGCCCCAGAAAATTTGCCACAAGATAATGTTCAAATAAAACTCTAAGAGATCCTAGATAACGCAGCAACCTCCCACTTCTGCAGTATTGGTTTACATTGAATGACTAAATCATGTTATGGCTTTGATCCTTTCAGTTCCATACATAATGAATTCCTGCTGTTTTCACTACAAGTTGCAATTCTACAATAGAACATACTTAGCTCTTGACTCTAAAATAACTAAAATTTGAGGTCTTTCCTGAAGAATTAGTGGTCTTGTCCGTTAGCAAAAAATGAGTTGCTACCAATCAGAGTTGAAATTCAGTAGCAGAAAGCTTGAGGCATCCCATTCATTTATGAACTGCAGGATTGGTTCCTGTTTTGCAGACGAGCTGTAAATAACCAGAGAAACTATTCAGGAAGAATATCCACAGAGCTCCACCATATTTTTAATAAGATACATTTTATACTTAAATACCCCCCAAAATCTGAAGCATAAATGAAGAGAAGAGTTATAACAATGAGCTCTTAAAATAATAGGGATTCAAGGTTCTTTAGAGTAGTGTGAAAATCTCTGCAGTACACATACAAATTTGGCCATGATCTAACATCAAGTAGCCAAAACACATCTGACAACACACTAGGCTTGGTCGGAGGGTCATACACTGAAAAGTTCCTCTCACCTTGAATTTCATAGGCTACCTTTGTAGCAGTTCGACTGAAGTGATCTAATTTGTTAAAAATCCAGACATTTGCACATCTGTGTTGTATTCAGTTAGTTCTTAGATGATGGGGTTTTCTGGACAGAGAGTCCTTGCTTTTCATTTGAAAAGTTCCTGCTTCCAAAGTTAGATGTAAACCATCTCGTATAGAAACCTGTGGCAAAGTTTGTAATAAAAAGTGTATAAACCCTAGACTTATCAAAAGAAAAACATATCTTCCTCCCTGCTCCTTGAGACTTTGAATCTTTATGTGATATAAAAAAGCTCTTGATAATAAAACTGATAAAGCGGATATATTTTACATGTGGTAAAGTAAAACTCTATTATATTGATCTGAAAGTAATATAGTATTACATAATATTTATCATATTGGGGTTGTTTGAATATGATTTTCATTGTTTCCTAAGCATCATTCTGCACAGAATTTGGTCACTGGCTATGTACTGTGAATGGTACCCATTATTGAAAGGTAGTCTGTATTTGTACTAATACAGAGAATGCCAGTTTAGAAATGAGCCTGATTGCATGGTTCATTTTGTTCTCCTTTGTAGAGCCAGGCTGCGGCCCACTACAAAGGCACTAAACATGCCAAGAAGCTCAAAGCACTGGAAGCCATGAAAAATAAGCAGAAATCTGTTACTACCAAGGACAGCGCAAAGACTACCTTCACTTCCATCACTACCAATACCATCAATACCAGCTCTGACAAAACAGGTTAAGCGATAATCTTTGTTGGTTTTTTATTTTTCTTGTTTAACTCCATGTCTGTTTGGTTATGTGCTTGCCACATTGATTCATGCTTGATCCATTTTCCTGTGTAATATTGATTTTGTTCTTCTTTTCAACACACCTGTGAGAGTAAAATAGTCATGTAACTGACTTCTCTTTTGTGAAAAGAGGTTTGCCATTCTTTTAGGCTAGAATGCATACATACGACTCAAGTAATATTTATGGCAAATGAACTATTAAATACGAACTGCTCTAAATCTTGTAGTTTGTATGCAATGTCTCTCTCTACATAATTACCTATGGCACATTTGTTTTAACTACAAACAATGCAGCAAATTGCACTAATTGTGTCTAGAAGCCTCTGATAAAAGCATTGTTGGTAAAAGACATACTGTCATAAATTTCAAGCATTGCATTATTATTTAAAGTGCATGATTTTGGGCTGGGTAATAGCTGTATAACCTCCACTCTACATAAACAGGTAAGTGTTATTGATGCCAATTATTCTGCTACACTGAGTCTTCATACTGAAATAATATTCTTTAAATTATTGCTTGGGGATTAGGTTTTTTCCTTGCAAACAAAACCCATGCAAGTATCAGGTGAAGTCAATGGGATTCAATTAACCTGGCATTTTAAATATAGGCTACTGTATTGGAAATTTCAAAGGAAGGATGTAAGTTTAAAGAAGATAGTTTTAGTTGGTCACAAAAAATAATTGCTCTTATATTTCTGTGCAACATACGTACTGTATGCAACTCATGAGATGCATACACAAAGTCTTGCAGGAAAAAATAATGCATGATGAGCAAATAATGTATAATATTCTGGTGTTGCTGCTGAGAGCTGCTCATCTGGAACAAATTCTCCTGTGTCAATGGCTTTGGTGTTGTAAATAGAAATGTACAAACAATTGAAAGAGTTACAACAAAAATATAAGTATCATATAAACACGCATTTAACTCTTTTTGTAAGGTCTTTGCCGGAAGACATATGGTAAAGGCAGTATGTGTGTTATGTGAAAACTCATGTTATAATTGTGGTTCAAAAATCAAGGTGGGTTTTTTCAGACTTGTCATATGTCTGAACTTATAAAGGGCTTCCTGGGGCATCATGAGATTTTTCTAATACTGAATGTAGCCAATTTTTTAGTGACCCTAAAAGCATTAATAATTGTGGAACAGTGCGGGGAAGGAAGGGGAGTACTGAAACATAGTTACAAAAAATACAAAACTAAACTAAAACTTAACCATAGTTTTAAATGTTGGGTTTCTCTTACTTGTTAGTGAACTGGATATTCTGTTGATATGTCGAGAGTGAGTTTTGTGTGAAGGACTGACATTGCTTTATAAATGATCATGACAGATTTCTAATAGACAAGGGAGGAAGACAAAAGTGAAATATTTTAAAGTTGTAACTTTTAATTGTTAAAAAGTTTTGCCTGCATTCTTTTGTTTTGTTTAGCTGAGGCAGACATTTGTTCAGAGGATGATCCAAAGCACATCAAAATCAGTGTGAATCTTTCCATTGACTTTATGGGGCTTTCAGTCAGGTCCCTGACAGGTTTTATGATATGCTGTATATCTGAACTCAGTATTTTGAATCTGTGATTATATCAGCATACAAGAAAGAAAACTGCACAGGGAAGCACTGGCCTGGGGAGAAGTTCCTTTCACGTTCAGATCTCATTTATAACTTGCTGGAGACATTCCATAAATTAGGTGTATATCCTATGAGAACAATATGCCTTTGGTGGTTGTTTGAGCATTCTGTACTATCTTTGCCACTGGGGCCATTCCAGTGATTTAATTTTAATTACGTTACCCTGATATGCCAAAGTCCTATCCATGGCCCCAAACCCGCAACCCCCTAAGTATTTCTGTAAGTTTACTCATGTGAGAAGTACCAATGAGTTCAGCCATGCTACTCACAGAACTGACGTTCTGTATGTATAATTGTTTGCAATACTGAGGACCATGTTGTTAGGATAATATCAGATTAGTGTGAAAATAGGGATTGGTCATGAAGTCTTGGAAAGGAGAAGGAAGAAAAAGAGAAAATGCTGATTGAAAGATCTGATTGTAAAAGTACCTCTGCCGAGGAAGAATCTGTTTCAAGGGATGCTGGCATGATGCCAACAAACCAGAAACCATGGCAGCAGGAAATGCATTAAGATCAACTGGAAATAAATCACAAATATAATGATAGAATTATTTTCAGGAAATATTACAAACTCTGTAACTGTTGACATTTAGAGATACGATGCAAACAAAAACTCACCAAGCTTGCTCTTCTGTCACCCCTAAAATGTATCAGCCAAAAGAAGGATCACCTGTGGACATTTGGAGCCCAGTTCTGTACTCTGGATTTCTATTGGCGTAACTGAGAGCAGAACTGAACCTTCTTGTTTAAACACAATGTATATAGAAAACATCATCTGCAGTAGCAAAGGAAACACAGTACAGAGATTTTGGGTAGCCAAGTGACTGACATTTCCTGGCAAAAGCAGGACTATTTGGACTCATTATCTGCAGGATTATATGAATTTTCTTTTCAGTTGCCCTCCATCCCACGCGGGCTTCATAGAACTCTTCTGAATACAAATATTTTATGAAAGGCAAAGAGAGTCTTGTGCACCACATATATGTATTCTGAGAATGGTGGCCATAAAAAGCATGTACACTGAGATTCACATCACTGATCCGAATGTGTTGCTATTCCATATGGTTTCACTAATTTCTTATACAGTCCATGATTTTGAGTAACCTCCATTACTAGTTCCTCCTCACATGGTCATTTGGAAATAGTATTTTTCTACAACTTTATGAAGCGGTACACAGAAGATTAATGCATGATCTCAAGTAAGCTGAGAAGGGGTCATGTTCACATCACCACTAATACATCATGTACAACAGTGGTTAAATGGTGGATTACATGTCAGTCATAGCACATTGGTCAAGATTTCAGTTCACTGGTTCTGCTTACCCTGTGCAATACCCACATCAGGAAACCTGCAGTGCCATGCAATAAAGATTGTGAAAAAGACCACATAATATACAACCTGATGCAGGAGCTGAAGCAGCAATTTGTTATGTTGCTTCTCCCGAAAGTATTTTGTCAGGCAGTGGTGTCAACATGTCTTAGTGCAATAAATAATGGTGACTATGCATCTTACCATACAAGGCACACAGCTTAAAATCTTGGACAAATGATGGCACTGCATACTAAGGGTGGAAAGCAAGATCTGGGGACATTTTGCTCATTCTGTGAAGGTCACTAATATCTTAACCTATCTGAATAACTTTTAAAATCAATGGGAGGCTTCAGCTAGTTGCTCTAAATGACTGAGATTCTTTGGATGTACTGGCAATCACAACAATTTGAAAGGAAGATATCCCTGCTCTCAACGTATTGGAACTTCGGTGATGCTAAATTTACACTGATACGGAAACCAGCACTTAAGATTCCTTCCCTCTGCTGAATCTGTGGAATTGTTGAGAGGTGACAAAAATGCATATTTTCCACACATATAGACATAGATCCGCATAAATATGCTCATATAAATCAAGTCCTGAAGGCATAGGGTCAGATTCTTTGTTCTACCCATCAGAGAATTTGAGTGTCGCTTCATCTTCCTCTGTCTCCATACGTTGCAGGCCACACATAACTCGTGGTTGTGTCCAGAATCTGATATCAATACAGCGAAATAGGCCATTGAAAATGTGACAGTCATTGACAGAGCTTCCACCCACAAAGATCAGCAGTTTCTATGTTGTTTCTGGATGTTATACAGTTAGGCCCAGATCCTCAGGGGTATTTAAGTACCCATCTTCCATTGATTTCAATTGAATCTCAATGCCTAAATGCCTTGGGGACTTAGGCCCAGATCCTCAAAATTCCCATTAAAGTACAATATTCCGAACACTTCTCTAAAAGCAGAACAAAAGTTTATTTAGGAGAACAGAAAAAGTATTCTATAAGCCATGGTGTGTGTGTGTGTGTGTGTGTGTGTGTGTAGTATATATATATATATATATATTATTACTTT